CCTGACTCAGCGGGGAGCCTGCTTCTCCCTCTGCCTCTCTCCCTGCTCATGCTCTCTCTCTCTCTGTATCTCTGTGTCCCAAATGAATAAATAAAATCTTAAAAAAAAAAAAAAAGTTGCTAGGACTGGGCGCCTAGGTAGCTCAGTCGTTAAGCGGCTGCCTTCGGCTCAGGTCATGATCCCCGGGGTCCTGGGATCGAGCCCCACATCGGGCTCCCTGCTCAGCGGGAAGCCTGCTTCTCCCTCTCCCACTCCCCCTGCTTGTGTTCCTGCTCTCGCTATCTCTGTCTCTGTCAAATAAATAAATAAAATCTTTAAAAAAATTTTTCATTAAAAAAAAGAAGTTGCTAGGACTGCTATTGCTATGTGGAAAGGTTTGAATGATTTTAAGGGGTGATGAGCCCTTAAAAAGGCAGTACCACCAGGTTCATAGCCCATGCCATATCTTGATTTATAAAATTAATTACGACACGGAAGGGCCAAGATACTTCCTAAAGCATCACTTACTTCAGTCTTATCCCACACAGTGGTGCAAGTAATAGAAGATGAATGTATCTCCGTTAGCTTATTCCTTACTCCATTGTAACCTACTAAAAAAAAAAAAATCAATTCCTCCCACATTTTAAGTGATGACCTTTGCAATAAGTCTTAAGAAACTCCACAACAAAACCACGGGACAAATCAAAGATGCACCTCCTGTGATAAACCCTAGAAATGAAATGAAGGCATGCAATGTGTGCAGCAGGAGAGCGGTGGGGAGGGGATGCAGGTCAGATATGATTGGAACGCCAGTGTCACAGTTGTCCCCTGCAAACTGGTCTCTGGGAGCTGGGTCAAGGCAGCCACGTTGAAAGCCAAACACAGACAGCAGCTGTTGAGAATGTAAAGTCTCTGGCCAGAGTGGGTAGAGAGCTGGGTGTGGTTGCCCAAAGGCCGATTTCCACCCCACCCTATAGGCCCAGTGACGGGATGAGAGGAGACAACTTCCCGTGGTGTGTTCCAGTCCTCCTTTCGGGGCTTAGTGGGAACATCTATGAGTGCTGGAGAGGGCTGCAAACTGCCTGTTGCACCACACAGCTCCCTCAACATCATCATCCCTGGAAGACACCCAGTTCTGAGAATGCCAGCGTCCAGAGAGCCAGGATCCAGGACTGACCTGCAGCTACCACACAGTCCCAGCTATAGCCCTGGTATAAAGTACAAGTAAATCCCACCGAGGGACTAACTGAGACTTCAGGGAGTATGTGGGTCTTTCCTACATTGCACAAGTAAGTGCTGAGCTGCATGGGCCGCGCCATCCCCTTCAACTATTTCTCAGAATGTTTGACTGGGAGCCCCTGCAGGCTACATCACTGAGCAGAGAATCTTCGTTATGCATTTCAACATCACTTTTCTTGGAAACTCTGACTGCTCCACTCTCCAGAAAAAATCCGTCAAATTTTTCGCTTTGTTCAAGTCATAATGTGAAAACTCCCATAATCAAATTCCCCACATTAGGACCCCTGCTGATGTTACATAATAATTGAGTCAAGAAGGAAAACAGGAAGTCAGACACTGACATCTTTTCTTTTTCTTTCTCTTTTAACTTTTTTTTAAAAGATTTTATTTATTTGAGAGAGAGAGAGAGAGCACACGAGCAGGGGGAGGGGCAGAGGGAGAGGGAGAAGTGGGCTCCTCACTGAGCAGGGAGCCCCATGCGGAGCTCAATCCTGGGACTCCAGGATCATGACCTGAGCCAAAGGCAGACAGACGCTTAACCGACTGAGCCACCCAGGCACTCCCTCTTTTAACTTTTTAATCATGAAAATTTTTAAACACACACAAAGCAAGAGAGAATGGAATAATAAACCCCCATGTCCCCACCACCCAGCTTGAATAATCTCCAAATGTGCCAATCTTGCTCCATCTGTCACCCCGCTCCACTCCTATACCCCCACAAATATGCACATTTTTCTTCTTTTTTTTAAAGGAGTTTTTAATTTTTTTTTTTTTTTTTTTTTTTTTTTTTTGACAGAGAGAGACAGCGAGAGAGGGAACACAAGCAGGGGGAAGTGGGAGAGGGAGAAGCAGGCTTCCCGCCGAGCAGGGAGCCCGATGCGGGGCTTGATCCCAGGACCCTGGGATCATGACCCGAGCCGAAGGCAGACGCTAAACGGCTGAGCCACCCAGGTGCCCCTTAAAGGAGTTTTTAAAAGCAAGTCCCAGACACAGTGTCATAAATACTGCAGCATATATCTCTAACCAGCAAAGACTTTGTTTTTTGACGTAACCTCTGTGGGCACTAGTATTAATTTAAGAACTATTGATATTTGTTAGGCATTGAGTATTTGGTGCAAGATATTACAGTAAGATCCTTTACAGTTTATTTCTTGAAATCTCTCAGCTCAGCAGAGAAACACCTTGGAAATTCACAAGCTCCCCAGGAGAAAGAAATGCCCTGGCCTGGAGAACATTACTATTTGCATTTTACTCATGAAGAAAACTGCTCAGCCAACTCAGGGTAAGCTGTGGAGAGGCTGCAGTCCAGGAGATGGCAAAGCTTGGAACAAGAGGCTTGTCAGAGCCTGACCTACTCCATCCCGCCTTGATATTCAGGGTATTAGAAGGGCATTGCGATGCAGGATCTAGTTACAATGTAGCTATAAAGTGCTGCCTTGTCTTTACCCCCTGCTCCAAATAAAGCTGTTACCTTTCTAGCCCTGTCTGCCATGGTGCTTAGCAGCCAGGGATGCATGGTCTCAGACATGTTTACCAAGTAAAACACTGACTTGAGGGGCGCCTGGGTGGCTCAGTCATTAAGCGCCTGCCTTCGGCTCAGGTCATGATCCCAGGGTCCTGGGATCGAGCCCCGCATTGGGCTCCCTGCTCAGCGGGGAGTCTACTTCTCCCTCTCCCACTCCCCCTGCTTGTGTTCCCTCTCTCGCTGTGTCTCTCTCTGTCAAATAAATAAATAAAATCTTTTAAAAAAAAATTTAAAAAAAGGGCATTGCTTCTCCATCTGAAAACTGGCTTTTTTTTTTTTTAAACTACCTTACACCTACCACTTGAATTTACATTGTGAAGATAGAAACACCCAGGCTTCTTGAAAAGGTAACGCCTTAAAAAAGAGCAGAAGACTTTTGACAAATCCACTTTACTTATCAGGCACGTATGCATCAAGAGCACAGGAGACGTTGCTTCATGCAAAAGCAATCTCAGTGTAAGTATTTCTGTTTACTATATGCTGTTCCTTTGCAATCCTGCACCTAATCTATGTATCTATACTCAGGAGATTTAGGCAGAGTAGCCACATTGGGTTGGCTTACTGCAGTAAGGATGGAGACTGCCTAAGCATAGCCTTGCGGGGAGTCTTTGACTCAAGGACAGACTGATAAACCCACTCTCAGTCACGAAGATCCCACACTGGCTTTGGGCTTCTGCCTGCCACCAGGCCTTCTAATTGAGTCTCCTATACTAGAAACCCCGGGTCGGCTGACACAGGCAGGCAGCATACTGCTGATCTCCCCTTGTTGTTTTTTTTTTTAGAACATTTTTTTTTTTTTTTTTTTTTTTGACAGAGAGAGAGAGAGATACAGTGAAAGAGGGAACACAAGCAGGGGGAGTGGGAGAGGGAGAAGCAGGCTTCCCGCCGAGCAGGGAGCCCGATGTGGGGCTCGATCCCAGGTCCTGAGATCATGACCTGAGCCGAAGGCAGACGCTTAACGACTGAGCCACCCAGGCACCCTGATCTCCCCTTGTTAATGCCCTCCTCCACCCAGCTCTCATCACTTTATGCAATTTGCTACCACAGCATCTGTCCTGGACTCTGATTGTCCCAGTTTGGACAGGATGCCCTCTTCAGGTCCAGGCAACTGTGGCTGGAGATTGGGACAGTTATACAAAGGAGCTGCTGGGAGCTACAGTTGTGGGTGAGGGCTGTGCCTAGAGAGTGGGACGAATTTTGTAACCTGAGCCAGCACTGTACGTAATGCCCACGAGAAGCTGAGCTGTTCTCACGTAGTTTGAGAAATGTTCCCTCCGTCTAGACCACCCTTCAGATGCCTGAGGTATGTGACTTGCCCCTTTGCCACTTTCCCTTCTTTCAGGTCTCTGCACAAGTCCCCATTATCAGACAAGCCTTCCCTACCACCCACGTCCAATAACACACATCCACTGCCGCTAGCAACCCCTTTATTCTGCCTTGTTTCCCCTTATCACAACCTGACACATTTTTTTTTTTTTTTTTCTATTTTGGCCACTACTGTATCCCCTCAACTTAGAACAGTGGCAGGTATAAAACAAGGGCTTGACACATTTATGCTGAATGAGCAATCTCCTCAACAACAAGGTCTTGTGGGGCGCCTGGGTGGCTCAGTTGTTAAGTGTCTGCCTTCGGCTCAGGTCATGATCCCAGGGTCCTGGGTTGAGCCCCGCATCGGGCTCTCTGCTCAGGGGGAAGCCTGCTTCTCCCTCTCCCACTCCCCCTGCTTGTGTACCTTCTCTCGCTGTGTCTCTCTGTCAAATAAATAAATAAAAATCTTTAAAAAACAACAAGAACACCCTCTCTCCCTCTACCCCTCCTTGCTGAGCATGTGTGTACTCTCTCTCTCGTTCTCTTTAAAAGAAATAAAGGGCACCTGAGTGGCTCAGTCGTTGAGCGTCTGCCTTTGGCTTAGGTCATGATCCCAGGGTCCTGGGATCGAGTCCCACATCGGGCTCCCTGCTATGCGGGAAGCCTGCTTCTCCCTCTCCCATTCCCCCTGCTTGTGTTCCTGCTCTCACTTTCCCTGTCTCTGTCAAATAAATAAATAAAATCTTAAAAAAAAAAAAAAAAGAAAAAAGAAAGAAAGAAATCTTAAAAAAAAGGGGGGGGCGCCCGGGTGGCTCAGTCGTTAAGTGTCTGCCTTCGGCTCAGGTCACGATCCCGGGGTCCTGGGATCGAGCCCCACATCAGGCTCCCTGCTCCACGGGAAGCCTGCTTCTCCCTCTCCCACTCCCCCTGCTTGTGTTCCCTCTCTCGCTGTGTCTCTCTGTCAAATAAATAAATAAAATCTTAAAAAAAAAAAAAAGACTATATCCCTCTCAGAGCTACACCACTGAAAGGTGTTCCTTCAACAACAGAAAGATTTATTACTTTCTTCCCCCACAGAAAAACCGCAAAAATATTTCCAACTTGACTCTAGTAGTGAGTTCCAAGTTTCATTAAAGAACTGGCCAGATGCTTCCTCCTAGCTCGTGTGGGAAGAAGTTAAGATAAAGAGCATTTGAAACTCTACCTCGACACACCTGCCTCATACCTTATTCCCTTCTGATACGTCTTCCTGTTTCCCCCAGGTCGGGGATATAGACCTGCCTCCCCAGGCACCTGGGGCTCTGGAAGCCCCCTGACTCCTCTCCACCTGGTATTAATAACAGATGGCTCTTATTGAATTGCACACCTGCTGTAAACCAGGCACTGCACCTTACAAATTGTCTCAAACTCTTAACCCCCAAACTGGAAGAAGCTGTAACCTGAGTGCTATCTGGACAGCCCCTGTAACCTTGACTTTTTCTTTTTCTGCCTTTGTTACCAGGAATCACTTTCTTCCAGTGTATTTGCAGAAAGGGAGTTGGTCTCTCAGCTCCAAAGCCGGTCCAGGCTGCGGCCTGTTCCTCTGCTTTCACCTGCTTCTAAATTCCACATTCAGCCAAGGTCTCCGCTCGCTCTGGTGTGGGTCCTAGCCTATGCTCTGAGGCTGCCATTCTTCTTCAACGTGACACTGACCGTGGTCTCAGGGGTGTAGTAGACAGAATAATGGCCCCCCAAGAATGCCCATATCCTGGATCCTGTGAATGTGTTACCTTACATGGCAAAGGACTTTGCAGATGTGATTAAGTTAAGGACCTTGAGATGGGGAGATTATCCTGGGGAACACGGTGTAATCACAGGGTCCTTATAAGGGAAAGAGGGAGGCAGGAGAGTAAGAGTCAGAAAAGGAGAGATGGTGAGGGAAGCAGAAGTCAGAGATGTGAGGAAGGGGCTGAGGAATGCAGGCAGTCTTCAGGAGCTGAAAGGGGTAAGAAAACAGATTCTAGCCTAGAGTCTCCAAAAGGAACACAGCACTGCCAACACCTTGATTTTAGGTCTTCTGACCTCCAGATGGGTAAGATGATAAATCTGTGGTGTTTTTAAACCACTAAGTTTGTGGTAATTTGTTATACTAGCAAAAGAAAACAATTCAAGGGATGACGCAGGGAAACCACACTTGTCTTTGTTGTCTTATACACACATGTGTAACCCACTTCGTTGTAAGTTTGGGATAAGTACAAGGGGAAAAAAAGGTGGATATTAAATATGATTGTTCCCAGAGCCCAGTGGAAGAAGGAAAAGCCCTTCACAAGGTCCCTTCATCATCCCCCATTTCCTAGCACTGCTCACCAGTCCAAGGCCCACCCTCTTTTTCTTCATTTCCTCTGTAAACCCACTGTTCTCTTCTCCATGGTGAAATTCATTCACTCAGCAAACATTTACTGAGTACCTACTATGTCCCAGGCACTGTTCTAGGTATTGGGAATAGAACAGTGAACACAACAGAAAATAATATAAGCTATCACAGGACTTATGTTTTAATGCAACCCTCCTTTCATGATATTCCCACCCAACAAGGTCTACCCAACCCTTACCCTCTACCCCAAATATGATCATCTGTAAGATAGAAATAACCCACAACAATATACTTCTCCAAAGTCTGAGTTACTCCATTAAGGATCATGCCATGTAGTTAGATGATTCCCAGAGTAATCCATGGTGCGCTTCATTTCCCCAGTTCTTGTTCTCTTCTGAGTCCCTCTGCCAACACAAAGTCAAGATACCCCTCCTTATTCTTCCTGTGGTCTTCTTATCTCCTGTGAGTAATTCTTAGATCACATACACACACACCCCAAAGACAACCATCAGTCTCAGTCTAAATCCATGTTAAGGAGGCTGCCTTCCTAACAGTAACATATTCTGCCCAACTAAATAAAGATATGGCTTTACTTTTTTATGCAGAGCAGCCCCAATCCCCCCTTCTCAGCTTCCACCTGTAGACTGCCTATGTGTGCACCAGAAACACCACCTGTCACTGTGTCTTTCTAAAAGGAAAGACCTTCAATTGTTACCATCATCCCCTGCTACCCAGAGAACAGGTAGAAGTTTGATAGATGAGCTTTTTTGATACATCGAACCATGTGAAATTCCTACCCAGGGCTTCCTCTACTAACAGATTCCATAGGAAGTGAATCCGCACCCTGTGGCCCCCATCCATAACAAACCCTGGAGCATTACGAGACTTTTCTTCTTCCAGTTCTAGAAGGAACGCCCAAGGGTAAGTACTTTTTTTTTTTTTTAAAGGTTTTATTTATTTGACAGAGAGAAAGACAGCCAGAGAGGGAACAAAAGCACAGGGAGTGGGAGAGGGAGAAGCAGGCTTCCCGCGGAGCAGGGAGCCCGATGCGGGGCTCGATCCCAGGACCCTGGGATCATGACCTGAGCCGAAGGCAGACGCTTAACAACTGAGCCACCCAGGTGCCCCAGGGGTAAGTACATTTTAATCACTTAAAATAATCCTCCCCTCTTCTCTTATGGTCTTTTTTTAAACAAAAATACACAGGTACCGTCAGGCAAATACTTTTGATTAAAGCAAACGTTAACTCTCTGGGCATTGAGAATTGCAGAAGGAAAGAGTAAGCTATCGATTCCTATTAAGCTTACCACCATTAGCTCTATAAGGCTGGTTGTGGAGTAATTGCAATATAAATAATACACGGATTATGTGTTTACTTGGTGCCAGGGACTTTACTAAGTTTACTAAGTAAAGCATTAACTCATTAGTCCTCACCAGTGAGTCACCTCACCTGTCCATATTTTACAGATGAGAAAGTGGAGGTCAGGAAGGGTTAAGAAAATTGTTCCAAGGTCACACTGCTCTTTGGTGGCAGAGCCAGGGCTCCAATGCGGGCTTTCCTGCCAGCCAGACCCTGACCACTATACGATACTGCTGTTCCACGCTTTAATACCCGGGAGGCTATTATCCAGGGTAGTACCTTCCCATTACAGTGGAAAACTTCCAAGTGAAGATAATAAAGGAGGAAAGGAAAGACAGCTTTCATGAGCCAATATGATCACCCCGAGAATTAAAGATAGATAAGAAGAAACCTGAAGCCAGGAACAAGAAATGCTTTTTAAATATTTTTATTTATTTATTTGAGAGAGAGCATGAGAGGGGGGAGGATCAGAAGGAGAAGCAGACTCCCTGCCAAGCAGGGAGCCCGATGTGGGACTCGATCCCAGGACTCCAGGATCATGACCTGAGCCGAAGGCAGTTGCTTAACCAACTGAGCCACCCAGGCGTCCCAAGAAATGCTTTTTAAACAGCCAACTGGGGCTCCTGGGTGGCTCAGTCAGTTAAGCATCTGCCTTTGGCTCGGATCATGATCCTGGGGTCCTGGGATCAAGCCCTGCTTCGGGCTCCCTGCTCAGTGGGGAGCCTGCTTCTCCCTCTCCCTCTGCCTGCCGCTCTGCCTACTTGTTCTCTCTCTCTCTAGCTCTCTGTCAAATAAATAAATAAAATCTTTAAATAAATAAATAAATAAATAAATAAATAAATAAATAAATAAATAAATTACAGCCAATTGAGCACTGGTCAGTTGGAAAACTTGTGGTTTAGGGTGGTGGTGTCGGGACTGGTGGCAACATTTATTTTGAAAGTGTCAAGGACTGCCACCTCTATTTAGATGTCTTTAATAAATGAGAGTCTAAAATACTCTAAAGAGAATCCCAGCAGAGACCACAAGCCAAAAATCCTTGGCTTCCAAAATAACGGGGGCTGCCTCTTCCCAAGTTACCATGCACAGAAGCAAAACTTGGCAGGGTCTGAAACAAAGGATTTTGGTCTTGTTCCTACCATTGCTTCCACAGAAGGAAGCAAAGCAAGCCACTGGGTTCTATCTATAGCAACTCCTGAGCACCCAGACCTTGCCAGGTGCTGCTCAGAAGAGGATCCCACCCTGCTCTTTGCCCAGGGAAATCGGCCCTTCTGGAGGCAGCTTTTAAAGACCTAAGTGCAGGGCGGGATTCTTCTACCCTTACTTATTTTCTGCAGAGTTCTGTTTCTTGGGGAACTTTTCCACATATAATCGAGCTGCTACTCTGACACCATTTTCATTGAGTAATTCATGGTGATATCACACCAGCCAGGCACTAGGGGAAGCCCTGCTTTTATGGGTTGGCTCTTAATTTAGGAATTTTTATTTTCTGACTTCCCTCCCTTTTTTGCTGGACTCCACTGCTTTTGAGCAAGATGCCTGAGTGGTGAAGTGTTGCCTGCTTTTGAGAAAAGGAATTCCTGCTGGTTGAGAGGCAAGTGATTGAGTGAAGGCAAAATGTGCGTCCTGTAATAGTACATCTTAATTGGAGAGTTGGCAGGAGAGGAAGGATGTGTGGGCCCAGTGTAGGCTCTGTGCTCATGATGGGGTTCATCAGGCCAAGCCCAGAAGGCTGGCTAGGGATTCACAGTTGCTCCCTGGTGGGTGCCACAGTCCTGTGTACCCGGGGAGCCAACGGGCTCCTCTCCGGCACCTGGGCAACCACATCTAACCCACATCCCCACCTTCCTTCCTCACCTCTCTGCTGTTCTGTGCAGCGAGCTGAGCCGGCAAAGGCAAAGGCGAGCTTGGCAAACCTCGCCTGTAAAAGCCTAATCCAAACAGCATGTCCGCTGAGCTCAGCGGGGTGACTCATGCGCAGTGATGTGTGAGGCCAGCGAGCAGAGATTAGGATCTGGCCCGCCCGCCAGCCTACCCTGCACTTCCTTTGATCAACTCTGATGGTTTTTAATTCTGCAGAAGTGGCTTCCTGCCAGGGGCAAACACTTCTTGGTGGAGGCTGGAGCCCTGTCGCTGCTGACCTATTTGTCAGTGGCAAGGCCGGTCTGTGTGATAGCGCGGAGATACCCTGGGCTGGCAGCCCACTGAGCCCAGAGGGGAGCCTCTCTCTCTCTCTCTCTCTCTCTCTCTCTCTCGGAGGTGCCCAGGGCGACATCAGAAGCTGGCTCCTTAGCCAACACCGGCAGGGCCACGCGTGTGAGCAGCCGGGGCTCTAACCCTGGTGCTGGCATTGGTTAAGTCACCCGGTAGTAAAGAAAAGTGGGGCTCTCTCTAGGGGATTTGTTTTTTCTTTTTTGTAAACTGGGGCATCTCTAAGGACAGTATCTGGCACAAAATGGAGCACTCTCTGGGTTCTTCAAAAGTTCTTTTTTCACATCTGTTTTGCTGGAAATGGAACACATTTGGAGTATAGGACTCTCTTGAACTTTTTTGGTCCCCAGCTTGAGTGGAATGGGTTTGCCTCTGGACTCTTCCAAATCCCCTCAATGACCGATGCCAAGCAGAGCACCTGAAACCCGGGTCTCATTCTCTCTCTTTCCCTCTCATACCCTATCTGGCTCTCTCCTTTTTCTCTCTTTTCTCAGAAAGTGGATGAGTGATTCTCAACCTTGGCTACACGTTTTAACCACCCTGGGGAGTGCAAGGGGGTTCCAAAACATCCCTATGCCCAAGCTCCACCCCAGAATAATTCAATGAGTCTCTGAGGGTAGGACCATACATCAGCCATCTCTAAAGCTCTCCATTGTGCCGGCAAACTTGGGAATCACTGAAATTTGGGGGTCTCGTGGCATCCACCGTAAGCCCTAAGAATGGTTCTCATCTCCCCGTCTGTCCTCCCCACCACCATTCAGTTTGAGGGCCTTCTGGAGTCTGGTGTGTACTTTAACCACGTTAAGGTAAGATGGTATCTGGTTATACAAAATATTGGCTATAATTTTGAATTATGTGTATACCGGAACCAATTCCAAATACGTCTTTGCCCCATAGATTCTTTTCATTTAATACAAATGTTCGTGTAATTTTTTTTAAAGATGTTATCTGGTTGGGATAACTAGTCTACATATTAAGAATTTGCTCATCTGATTAAATGTATCTACCATCCCACTGAGACTTAGAACAGAGAATGAACATGAGGAACTGAAATGCAGAATAGATGGGTCTCACAGGGAAGAAGTAGGGGATGGTTCAGCACACAGAGCAATGATCAACCCAGTTAGAATTTCTGGGAGGCAGGTTTGTTAGTGCTGGTGACAGGCTGTGAGTAGGGCTTCCAGATAAAATAAGGACCTTTAGTTAAATTTGAATTTCAGATAGGTGGCAGATAATGCAATATTGGGGACATATTTATACTAAAAAATCATTTGTGGTTTATCTGAAATCTGAAATTTAACTGGGGTTCTCCATTTTGTTTGCAAATCTAGAAATCCTAGTTGAGGATGGCAGGCTAAAGAGGAGAATCTTGGGCATTTGAGGGAGTGGTAGGCCTCACCTGGGTGGTTACCGCCCTCCAGGAGGCATAGGGAAAGCGCGCAGACACATGGGCCTGTCCCAGTGACTGGGGATTGCTACTGGCATGTAGTGGGTGTGAACCAGGGTGCCAAACATACTGCAGTAGGTGGAATAGTTCCAATGGAGGATTGTCCCGTCTAAAACGCCAATGGTACCCAGACCAGTGCCACCTATTTCGCCATTTTACTGAGAACTGACCCTATCACCTTCACATAGTTGCTCCCTAGAAAGCAGTGCACTGGCCACTCAGAGAAGTTCAGAGAGTGCCCCCCAGGAAAGAGCCAACCAGACAAAGTCCCAGATACTTGTCCCAAAGCCTCCTTTAGTCCAACCCAACCATACAGCGGGTCCAACGAAATGAATCCAAGCCTTCAAAGCTTACAATAAGTACTGCCTCCTTCAGGAAGCCTTCCTTGACTGCTCCAATCTTCACTGATCTGTCTCCTTAACCCCTAAAATCTTTATTCTTCTAACTTAGTACTTGAACATATTCTTATAATACTTTCATGTGTTCTGGCCTGTGAGTTAGTCTCTCTAACTAGCCTGGAGACATCAGAAAAGTGAGATCAAGTTCTGGGTGACTTCGATCATGTTACTGATTTGTTGGTTGGCTTTGCTATTTGTTACTCTGGTGGCAGGGGCGCCACCTGGGTGGCTCTGTCAGTTAAAAAGCATCTGCCTTTGGGTTGGGTCATGATCCTGGGAGAGCCCCACATCGGGCTCTCTGCTGAGCAGGGAGCCTGCTTCCTCTTCCTCTGCCTGCCGCTCCCCGTGGTTGTACGCTCTGTGTCAAATAAAATAAATAAATAAATAAATCTTTAAAAACTCTGATGTAGCTGAAATTAAATGTACAAAAAGGTGAGGCAATTAAAGGAAAGATAAAAAGGGAGATGAGAAACCACATAGAAGAAAGGGAAGAGCAGGAACCGGAGAGAAGATAATTTTGTCAATGGATATTAAATTTAAGTCTGGGCTCCCTGACAGGCAAAGCAAAAAGGGAAACAAAATTGGTTACATCACTCTTATTGTCTGAAAAAAAAGGAAGCAATATCAGCTCATGAGGAAACGTAATGTCTTTCCTCATGCTAAAAGCTAAGTGAAATTTATCAGATCTTTAAAAGGCAGGACTCTGAGAAACATAATAGATAACATCTTCACTTGAGTTTTCAGAAGATACAAAAAATGTGGGGGGGTTTTCCTATCTCTTATGTTTCCTTTGTAAGAAATTTGGGACTATACTAATGAACCTTGGCTCAGTGAAGGCATTTTTATAACGAGCTAAACTAATATATTCTAAATGTATTAATTTCCAGTGATCTGATTAATAAAGGGGTACTGAGAAGTTTTCAACTGCCCAGAGCTGTTATGACGCCTTTATGTGTGGCTCCCCTAGCAGCTTCTGACAGCCTTAGGGAAAAGGTGAGGATGCTGTAGAAACTAGGCTGTGGTAGGGGGTAGAGGAAGGATGGCTGGGAACAACTACATTCCACTTCCCACGCGACCTTGCTCCCTGCGAGCCAGAATCAGACTGCTGGAATTACCCACCCTGCCTAGAAGGTACTTCCCAGCCACATCCCCAGGAAAAGGATAAAGGAAAACAGTGTGTCACCAAGGGCCCACCCCAGAGCAGGATCTTGGGAATGGCTTGAGACCCTCCCTGACCATGTGTACCATCCTTTTATGAGTGCTACATTTGGGGATTAGTTTGCCGCTCTTTAAAGGCAGAGAACAAATAATTAGATGACTCAAAAAAGAATTTCCTTTTTTGGTTTTATTTGGGTCTTCTTCTTCTTCTTTTTTTTAACCAACTCCCTAAAACAAACAAAAAATAAACCATAGATTAAACCGCCCCTCCCCTCCCCTGGGCTGCACAACATCAGGAGAGGAAACTGTGGCCTGGGGCCTTGAAGGCTGGCTGATTAGCACACATGTTCCCCCCGCCCTACCCATCACCCCCATCTCCGATGCACTAGTCCTTGTGCTTGGTGGCTAACAGTGACAAAACCAAGATGCATCACCGTATGTCAAGATTCACAGATTATCGAAAGACTAAGTAGCAGGTCTGGGATGGGACGTCGAAGCCAAAGGTAAAACTCTCTGACCTAGGCTTTGCTCTTCTGTTTTTAGATGGTGGCAGCTTCGATTTCCTTCCTGCTGGCCCAAAAAGGATGGCTGGAGCAAGCAGAGCTAATCTAGGTACAGGTGGAAGGGCTGCTTGAGCCATCAGGAAGCCTCCCCACCACCCGGTCTCCTCTCCCCACTGGAGGCCGGGGAGGGAGAGAGACAGCCTGGGAGACGTCTTTCCCTCCTTCCGTGAGAGGAGGTCAACTGGGTTGTGCTGACCTTGCTTCCTAAAGGGCTTGCTTCTCAGGTCAATGGATACTGCCCTTAGTGCTAGAACGTGTATACCGGACTCATTTCCAACTCTCTGGTAGGCCAGCAATGTTGATCCAGGCTCTCCCCTTCACTTGGGATTAGAGGAAGGGGGGTTAGTTGGGGTCATTTTTGGCTACCCAGCATCTGAACTCCTCTCCCAAGCTCAGGACATTTACTGCCTCATGAATCTTAGTACCTTAAGAAAGAGCCCCAAAGGCCAGATGCTTCCTTCTCTAGTCTCTTTTGGACATGGACCCACAGCGGGACTTGGTCAAACAGGTGTACCTACTTCAAATGGAATCAGACATTAACTGGCACCGGGGCACCTGGGTGGCTCAGTCGGTTAAACATCTGCCTTCAGCTCAGGTCATGATCCCAGTGTCCTGGGATCGAGCCCCGCATCGGCTCCCTGCTCAGCAGGGAGTTTGCTTCCCCCTCTCCCTCTGCCCGATGCCCACCCCCCCAATCTCCGCTCATGCACACACTCTCAAATAAATAAATAAAATCTTAAAAAAAAAAACAGAAGAAGAAGAAGGAGTTACTGGTACCAACAGACAGGGACAGGGGAGAATCCTTTCTGGGGGATGTTGCAGGGCAACAAAAATATCCAGGCTCCCAGGGCAGTGGTGCCCGTGGTGGTGTCCAGTGTCCAGGGCTGAAGGTGGTAGCAGGGCGATATGGTGCGGAACCACTGGGCAGCAGCTGCCGTGGTATCCTCATCTCTCCCTTTCTATGCTGTGACCGTGCCTGTGGCCTGGGGTATGATCCTGAGTTCCTGGGCCCTGTGTTTTCTGAGCCTGTTTCTCCAACCTTCTCTGTGATTCCGTGAGTTACTCGATAGCCTTTCAACGAATTCCTTTTCTGCTTAGATCAGAGTTGGTTTCTGTTGCTTGCAACTGAGAACCCTGACTCTGTCCAACTACAACTGGTTTCAGTCAATCGTTTGCAGATGCTTTTTTTTTTCCCCCTCACTGCCTGCATTCTTCATGTCTCTGCCCTCCTGGCAATTCCACAAGTAATCCAGAAAAGGAGGAATAAGCACGCAGAGAATTTGACCACAGCTGGGAAGTAAGCCAAGAGAACTCTGAAGAACGTGAATATTAGATCTCTCATTTTGTCAGGTGGGGTGGATGCAGGATTAAGGAGACAGAAAGCTGTAGGCTGTCCATCATATTTTATTTTTCAACCGAATTTGGTTTTACAGTGATTAGCCATGGCACTTAAAAATCCCATGAGGGTATGGACCAAGTCTGTCTTGTTTTCTCTAGTACCTAGGTCATACTGGATACTTAGTAAATACTAGCAAAGGGGTAATGATAGAAGTCTCGGAAGAGAATTCAAGGAAGAGAAGCTTAATATATCCTTAATGCCTCTTAAAAAAAAAGAATTGTCTCAACACTGTGGGAGCTGAAGATTAAGGCCTGTGAGTCGAGCCAACACTGCAGATATTTGATTGTGTTGACTGAAGAGCAGGAGCCTGGAGCTTTAGCCATCACACTGCCAAAGACAGAGAGACAACACACTCCCAGGCAAGGAGAGCCTGACATGGGTCTAGCCCAGATAGAATGCCGGTCTATTTCTTCTTTGGAAGGGGGCCTGCAAAGCTGAACTGAGATGGTTCTCCGAAAAGCATTTTGAATCAACTTCAGGTGTATTGACAGTACTTGGTTGAAACCCCAGAACGGGGTGGGGGGTGGGTAGAGTTAGTTTGAATCTAGAAAACCAAGGGCAGGTTTCCCTATCAGCTACCTTAACTGTGTAAGAACCTCAGTCCGTCTGTTGTAAGCTGGTTTTAAGTGACACTGACATTTGGATTTGGATCCACAGGATGCATTTGCTACAAACTGACTCTGATTCTAATTCTTGTTTGTGACATTAACCAATGAAACCTTACCTTAGGTAAGTCTCTTAACTAACTTGGTCTCAGCTTTCATTTCCCAATTTCAAAATCCCTGGTTTTAAAACAGAGGGTTTGGACCATCTCGTTCACCCATTTCCTCTCTAACATGTGACCTTTCTATTATTTTCCTTAAGGACAAGAATCATGTGTTCTTCTTCAATATACCCTTCCGTCCAAGTACAAAGCTGGACACGGCAGGCACACAGCCTGCAGTATGGCTGTGTTCCAGAGAGGCCTAGGCCAAGACTCCTCTAAGAACTTTCTCGCGCCGGGACCTAGGGCCAGCAGTGATAAAGTTCGAAGAGGAAGAGCACTGGCATCCTTTGATCTGTAACCAGTACCAGAGCCTTCTAAACTGCTCGAAGTGCTCAGGTTTGCTTCTGGAGCTGGACTTCCAAGGCCCCCACTTCGAGGCCAGGCTCATCTTTAAATTCACATTGAACAGTAGAAGATGGTTAAAGCCAACACTTCCAATACGGTCTGGGGCTGATGGAGGAGAGAACGGTGAAATATCATACACATGCATCTATCTGTTAAAGCTGTGCTCTAGAACTTGGTTTTAACATGCGGAATCTGTGGCCACCCTGTCTGCCCGGGGAGGGTGCTGCGATGCTTTCCATCCTGGGCTTAGAATGGTGAGTTATAAGCAACAGCAGACAGGATGGTCATCTTATTTCCTCTGCTTCCTTCCGGGGAACAGGCAAGCGGACTGCAGAGAAAAGAGAGAGGGGGAGGAAAATAAGTAAATGCCAGCATGCGGAGCAGGGAGGAGAGTGAATGGCAACAGGCGTGGGAGCTCAGCTGCCAGCAAAAATCTGATGCTCTGCATTGCTCTGAGGAGAGGAGGCAAGTCTTCCCGAATCCAGGCGCCCCAACATGATTGTGAAAGCCACACCCGTGGGCCCACAGACAGCCAACACTGCTGTAGAACTAGTGAGACACCTTGGGAAGCTGCTCAGGTTTCTGGAGACATCTCTGTAAAAGCTGCCCTTCGTTCCTGGGGGATGCTTGGAACCCCAGTGGGAGGCGACCCCAGAGCTGCCCCCCAGAGCTGAAAATCCTTTTTTTTTTTAAGGCAAAGTTAATTTCAGAAAATTTTGTTCTCAATTTTGTTCTAGGGCTCAGAGCCAATTCCTTCGTTCCCAGTGGCGGCCGGCAGGGCTGACTGAGCAGGCACAAAGAGCTTTGAAGTCAACAGAGGTAGGCAGGGCAGGCCCCAGTGGAAAACTGTGAAGTCAGCAGAGTTATCTCCGGCACTCCTCCCTTCCCCCTTGCTTCCCCTTTCTCCACCCATTTCCCCCTCTCGGCTTCCAGCTTCTCATTTCCCAGGGGACCCTGGAACATATGAAAACCCACCCCTCCAAAGATATGAGGGGGCCAGCTCATGGCTCCAGCTATCAAAGTCTGCTTTTTTCTCCCCACGTCTAAAACAAACAAAGGCGTGCATTCCATACATTTCCTAAGGAAAGAGAGTGAATACAGAAACCTTGTCCTTTGTGCTCTCTTGGTGAAACCCCAAGAGCCTGGGGCCTCAAGTTTGAAGCTGTCTTCCTGCCTCCTGGGGCTTTAAAAGGAATCAAAAGTGCCTCAAACCAATACATCTGCTTGGTTTATGGCTCAAATTTAAACCACAAATTATAAAATGATAAATCGCTGTTCGAATCTCTTCCAGGAAAGACTATGTTGTCAAGATTAAGTTACAGCCTCATGGCCCTATGAGTGAGCCTCGCTGCTGACTAACTCTCTCACTCATTTTCCTGCTGGAGATGTTTTTTCTTTGTGAACTTTCACTGTTTCTGAGTACTTTAAACAAAGAAAATGACCGAAGGCAGGAAAAACATCGGGGACTTCTTAACCCATGGAGCCTTTTTACAGGCTTTATTATGTAACGGCTGCTTTCGTTTTGTGAGTACCAAAGGAAGTTGAAGAAATCTCTTTCTTCGTGAGCACTTAACTGCCAGAGAACCGTGAGACAGGGCTTCACTCAGGTGGGCAGCGACGCTCACTTCAAAACTCCAGTTGGAACGCGGAGTGTGTGGTAAATCAAAGCTGCCTTAAGGAATCTGGGTCTTAAAGTGTCTGTTCAGTGATTTGGGCAGGACTGCAGCACGAATTACTGTATTTCGGCCCCACGAAAATCAATTCTTTGGAATTCTCTTACGGGGCCTGGTCTAGCGACAGAGGAGTGTGACAAATAATGGGGCCCCATGCATGCTTTCCCATAAGGATGCTCCTCTCCGCCAGAGCTTGGGCAGGCGGAGGGAGGAGAGATGAGATCCTTGATCGAGGCCCCTACCTTGCCTGCCTGTGGGTCTGTCACGCTGACCTCAGTTTGATGACCTGAGGCTGCAGGAAGCAACTGAGCATCCATGGTTGTTTCTCCAGCCCAGTGCCTTGGTTATACAACCCCGACCCGGTTTCTCCAAGGCCACTCAAGTCCTGAGGACCATCAGACGGTGAGTCAGAATCACTGCACCATTTCCTCCTAAGCTCCTTCTGGTTTAGTTTACACCTCAGCCCCTTCGGTCTCTTTCTTGGGGTCCCCAGGCCCTGCGTGGCAGCTTTTGTCTCTCTCTTCCTTGAGGTCCCTGGGTCCTCGAGGCGGTTTTCGCTTTCTGACATAATTCCACGGGATCACCGGCGCCAGCCCCTGCAGGCCTTGCCCCAGCTCCTCTTGTCTCCGCTTTTCCTGAAGTCGGCCTGCTGTCTTTACTGCTGCTTTTTCTGGGACACTTCAAGTTGTGGAGAGAGGTTTTTTTTTTTCCCCCTGTGATTATAGCTCTTTCTTCCAGTTTTGACTAGTCTGGCGTCTCTCTGATTACAGCTCATTAGGACTCCTGAAGTTAGAAGGCACTTTTTTTTTATGCTGCCTTGTTTTTATTTTTTTAAATAACATGCATTATAACTTATTTTTTGTTTTTTTGGGGTTTTCTAAGATTTTATTTATTTGACAGAGAGAGAGAGAGAGATACAGCGAAAGAGGGAACACAAGCAGGGGGAGTGGAGAGGGAGAAGCAGGCCTCCCGCCGAGCAGGGAGCCCGATGCAGGGGCTCGATCCCAGGACGCTGGGATCACGACCTGAGCCCAAGGCAGACGCTTAACGACTGAGCCACCCAAGCGCCCCTATAACTTATTTTTGCAGGGCAGTATAAAGATGAAAGCAATCATAGTCATGAGTCCCACAGTCCACACAACCCCAACAGCATTAAAAATAATAGTCATAAAAGTCGTGAATAGGTGGGAAGAAAATAAAAACAATTTTAAAAAGGTATAAAAGGAAGAATAAAAACTTCCCATTCTGCCTGCGTCCCTCCCCCCAAATATAACCACTCTTACTATTTTTTTATTCTTGGTACTACATATTTATGTATGTCCTTTAACAAAATTTTACATAAAAGCAGTCTTACTATACTTATTCTGCATTTTGCTTTTCACTCAAAATGCAACCTTAGAGATCTTTCCACATGTGCACTGCAGATATACTCCCTTCTTTTTTTTTTTTTTTTAAGATTTTATTTATTTATTTGAGAGAGGGAGAGTGCACACACAAGCAGGGGAGGGGAGAGGGGAAGCAGACTCCCTGTGGAGCAGGCAGCCGGAGGTGGGACTTGATCCCAGGACCCTGGGATCGCGACCTGAGCCGAAGGCAGATGCTTAACTGACTGAGCCACCCAGGTGCCCCATATACTCCCTTCTTTTAATGTCTGCAGAGTGTTTGTTAGAAGAGAAAGTGCCTTCCAAATGAAAGGCACTCAATTAATGTAATTCCTGCCCCCTTTCTGTCCCTTTACTTCTTCTACTCCCTGAGGACAGAGTGACTTACCTGACTAACAAGCTTGGCAGAACAACCTAGATGTGCTGGGTTCAGCTCTGCCCTTTCTGCTCAGCACCAAGTTACCTGCAGGGAGTGTGCCTTCTGCTGCCGTAGAAGTAGGCAGAACTGGCTGAACGGCTGCTCGATTCTGGGTTTCAGTGGCACGAAATGTCTCTCTCATTTAATGTGAGATTTCATATGGTACCACATCCAACTTTGTCTTTTATCAGAGTTATTTAAGTCTTCATCTGCCAGTCCTTTGTTTTATTTCTCAATTCGTTCAGAACTAGAGCAGGGAAGAAGACTGCCATTTATTGGGCCTACCTAGGGTCCCCAAATATTATTCCTTATTTAGATATATCAAAATGTATTTGATCAGTTTCCTAATGATGAATGTTTAGGTGGTTCCAGTTGATGGCTTAAACAGATAACACCTCAGCAAACATCTTTATGCATATACCTGGGTGTACTTTGTGCAAGCACATCAATGGGTAAATTCCTTATATTACAAGTGCTGGGTCAACAGTATGTGCCATGGTGTCCCAAATAAAGATGGGAGAAAAAGCCTCCCTGGAAAGGAGGTACCAAGATAATAAACTAATAATCATAATGGCAACAATTAACATTGAGTTATTTCTTGTTGTGTGCCAGATTCTGGGCTAAGCACTTTGTATATGCTCATGTTTTTTGATCCTCCTAACAACCAAATGACCTAGTGACGATTATTCACTCCATTTTACAGTTGAAGATCCTGAGATCAAAACTGTTAAATGATTCGCCCAAGGTCATAAGACTACTAACTACTAACTGGTGGAGATGGAATCCAAGACCTTGTTTGTGTGATTGTCTGTACCTCTGACCACCTGATAAAGGTGTTGCCTATGACACAGAGTGGGTGGAAGCCTGGCCAAGCCCTTGAGAATGTGTGAGGACCATTGATTCAGGGCTCAGCTCACACATGTATACATATGTAGTAGAGGGACTAAGAGTACAGAATCTGCAGCCGGGCTCTGTGGGTTCAAATCCCAGCTTAGCCTCTAACCAGCTGTGTGATAAACACCTAGCTTTCCTCATCTGCAAAATGGAGATTTTTAAGAGAATTAAGTTATTTAATATTTGTCAAGCACTAAGAACATTGCCTGGTATAGAGTAAGGCCTTCATAATTGTTTAGGGTTTTTGTTTGGTTGTTTGTTAGTAAATTTTTATTTTTTTTATTTAAATTTAATTAATTAACATATAATGTATCATTGGTTTCAGAGGTAGAGGTCAATGATTCATCAGTCTTATGTAATACCCAGTGCTCATTGCATCACGTGCCCTCCTTAATGTCCATCACCCAGTTGCCCCACTCCCCTCCCCTCCAGCAACCCTCAGTTTGTTTCCTAAGATTAAAAGTCTCTTATGGTTTGTCTCCTTCTCTGTTTTATTTTTTCCTCTCTCCCCCTAGGATCCTCTGCTTTGTTTCTTAAATTCCCCATATGAGTGAGATCATATGACAGTTGTCTTTCTCTGATTGACTTATTTCGCTTAGCATAATACCTTCTAGTTCCATCCACACCATTGCAAATGGCAAGATTTCATTTTTTTGATGGCTGAGTAATATACCATATCTTCTTTATCCATTCATCTGTTGATGGACATCTGGGCTCTTTCGATAGTTTGGCTATTGTGGACATTGCTGCTGTAAACATTGGGGTGCATAATTGTTAAGTAAAATAAATTCAAATAAAATGCAAGTATATGTAATAAAAAGTGAAAGTCCCCCTTGTCCTTAAGCATCTGCCTCCACCTGACCCCATTCAATCCTACTTCTCTCTTTAGGGGTTAATTGTTAGTGTCCATGCCTCTAGACTTTGTTCTGTTTGGTTTTTTATATGTATTTATCTTTATACGTATATAGTTTTATTTGTGTGCCTATGCTATCGGAAGAATACTTTACCATAGTGATTAATAAATGGACACTGGAACAAGACCATCTGAATTCAAATCCCAGCTCATCTACCTGCCAGCTGGATGACCTTAGACAAATTACATAACCTCTCTGAGATTCAGTTATCTCATAATCTCCACAATAGGGAAAAAGCCAGTACCTTCCTTGTATGGAGACGAGATGAATTAATATATACAAAGTGGGTTTTTTTTTTTAAAGATTTTATTTATTTGACAGAGAGAGAGACACAGCGAGAGAGGGGACACAAGCAGGGGGAGTGGGAGAAGGAGAAGCAGGCTTCCCGCGGAGCAAGGAGCCCGATGCGGGGCTCGATCCCGGGACCCTGGGATCATGACCTGAGCCGAAGGCAGACGCTTAACGACTGAGCCACCCGGGCGCCCAATACAAAGTGTTTTTTTAAAGACTTATTTATTATCTATTTTAGAGAGAGAGAGTGTGTGCACAGGAGGGAGGGGCAGAGGGAGAGGGAGAGAGAGTCCGAAGCAGACATCGTGCTGAGGACAGAGCCCAATGTGGGGCTCAATCTCAGGACCCTGAGATCACAACCTGAGCTGAAACCAAGAGTTGGACACTTAACCTACTGAGCCACCTAGGCGCCTCTGTATATACAAAGCTTTTAAAACAATGTCTGGTGCATAGAAAATCGTCCTCAATAAGTGCTAGATCTAGTAATTATTCCTACATATGTTGTATTGGGACTTCTGTCTCCCTTGACAATACATCTTAGGGATTATTCCGCAGCAGTATATATAGGTACACCTCATTTTAAAGTCGGTTAGTACGATGTTTCATAGTACAACCACAATGTAGTATATTTAGATGTGTTCTAATGCAGGTTGTTTCCAGCATGCAGCCTTTTCTCATCTGAAAATACAGAGTCCTGGAGCCAATCAACACTAGCTTCACCAGCCATCCGTATATTTTACTTCTTCTACTTAACAAACATGTACAGTGCTTACTACCGGTTGCACAATGCCCTAATCACCTTCAAAATGTTAACTCATTTAATAATCATTATGGTGCTTCTAAAGTAGGGGCTACTTAATCCCCATCTTACAGATTGGGAAATCGAGGCACAGAGAGGTTAAGTAACTTACCCAAGACTGCAGGGCTAGGAAAAGAAGGGCTAGGATTCCAAGCGACACAGTCTGGCTCCCAAGTTCATACTCTTGACCTCTCTGTCCACACTCCGCACCTCTCTTCTCTGTTCTAAAATCCACAGCATCACTTCAGCAAGACCCTTAGCCTCATCTTGTCACATTTTCATCCATACTGTGAATGGGAATCCAGCCTCTTTGGAATATACTTAGGAGCATACAGGTACTCTAAAAGGGCAACCTGATGGCTACATCAACGAAACTCCTTAAACTACCAACAGCCAGCCTTACTAAGGACTGTTCGGACAATAGCCAGACAGCGTGGAGAAAGCCCTTCAAGTGATGATACCAACACTCGCCTTCAGAGGCCCCAGGTCTGGGCTCTCGACTCTGCCTCTCTGTGCCACACTGGCCTGCTGAGCAAACTCACAATGCAGGTCAGCAGACAGCCTTAAAATAAACAAATATGTTTGTGTTGTGCCCAGTTATGGAACGGTGCGTATCCAATTAGGTAGTGCAAAACTCATGCAAATCATCTTTTCTTTTTTCCGATTCCTGCTGCATATGAGTCTTTCACAACTGACTTGGCCAA